TTGAGAGACAAGAAACTTCCGATCTTTCTTAAGAAACATCACCGGTAGAAATATGATCTTCAAGGATCACCCTTAGTGTACCGTTTATGTTTTCCTTCTCTTTTTCTTTTTCTTTTTCTATTTCTGTCTTTGTTCGTCTTTCTCTCAACGACACTTTCTGAATCATAATTGTTCCTTGGCATTTATTTAGTCTCAATCTTCTCTGTACAACTCTGCAAAGACACAATCTCTCTCTCATTTTGGATAGCAAATCTAACTAACGCCTACTATTCTAGAAAACGCGTCAAATCTATTCGTATAATATCATTAGAGTGTTGTTAAAAGATCGTGTAATACGACCTTCGTTCCATGAAAATCATTCCAAAAGCGTTTTGGCAAACGTTAGTTCAAACAAATTCAAAAGTTGCACATGCGAATCTCTTCTGACGCTTTTCTTTGATTTTGTGAGTTAGATGAATTTATTGTTGTCTTTTATTCCCTTTTTCCATTTCTTTTTTTCAATAAATTAAAGTTGCAATTCTTCAATTGTTAATTAAATTTTTAAGATTTATTGCACCATGAATGATACAATTCATTAAACATAATTTACTGATTTACAAATTTTGAATTTACGTGAGTTTGCTGGACCATAAATAGGATGACGATTTATTATACAATTATATAATTATTAATAATTATATAATTTATATAATTATATAATTTATATAATTTATTATATAATTAATTTATAGTTAATTCTATAATATAATATAATAATTAATTAATTATTATATTGTTAATTAATTTATATAATTTATTGTAATGAAAAATTCCATAAAATTTTGATTGAAGTAGGTTTAGTTTTAATTGGATTAAATATTTTTTTTGGTTAAAATATTATGCAATTTGAATGAATCTTCCATGAAAATTAATTGTATATTAATTTTTCGTTCCTATAAGTGTAATAAATTTAATAAAATTCTTGTTATTTTCGTAAGAAATAAAATCTAATTATAACTGATTTTGTATCATTATTATTGTTATTATTATTATAAACAACGCAATATTTTTAGTAATAATGTATATAATTGAAAACAAACATTTATCTATTTAAATATTTTGTTTACTTTGTAAAATAAACAAATATAAATACGACCCTCAAAAAAAAATATTCATCATTTGAAAAAAAAAAAAAAAACAAAAAGAAAGTGTTGGCGAACGAAAACGTTTCGAAAGTTTTCTAAATTCGTAAAGTAGCCAAGAAGATGGATTATTTTTCTGGCACGTCCGCCATTTGTGAAATTCTTCCTCGTTCAAAAGGTTATCAAAACGTTATACGTTGTACATCACGACAAAGTATTCAATTTTTTAAATACATTTCGACGAAAAAGAGATTTTTATCTAACTAACTAAATGTATTTCAATATTATTAATTTATTTTAACATACACAATCGTTGATCTTAATTTGCAAGTAGACTGATGTTTATTAACCGTGTCGTAATAAGAGGAACGTTAATTAATCGGTGTTAATCGATAACGTAAAACGAGTCTTTGCAAGGTTATTTATCCGATACTCTTGCATTTATTTTACTACGTGTAATTTTACTTTGTTTATTGAAGAATAATATTATTCTTTAGTAACACAAAATATTGAAAAATATTGAATACATGTGTATTTAATATTGAAAGAAATTAAATCTCTTTTTACTAGGGATTATTATTATTATTATTATAAATTTGTATTATTTAAAAAAAACAAAGATAAAAAAACAATTAGGATTTAGGTCACCTGATTATATCCTGTTGTAGATATACTATTTCAAACGTAAACGCGTTACTTTCGACAGATTCTACGTTACGCTCTCATTATTCACGAACGTTTGGAATTTGCATCGAATTTCGTCGTCTCGTGTTTTTCAAAGATTCGCCATTTCTTTGGGATATCTTTCGAGTATATACACACATATATATACAAATATACATACATAAAAGTGTCTAATATTAGATCGCTTTTTATTACGAAGAACGAACGGACGGTGGCCAAATTTTGCGATAATCCGCCTGCGTAGCGCTTCGTGAACGCTCGCAAAATAGAAATAGATGTTCGTTATAAATAAAGTGAATGTGTTATTTTGCGATGTTCTTTAAAAAAAATAAAAAAAGTTATAAAAAAAAAAATTGAAACAAAATTTCCAACACTCGTATTTGTAAATATACAAATATAATATAATTACAAATATATCATTTGTAAATATAATTATGAAAATGGTTTATAAATATAAACAAAAATAGAAACAATTGATTTTACAATTTATTTTATAATATGAATAATTTTAATATGTTGACTGGCGTATAGGTCACCAATGAACTCAACGCGAACAATAGTAAAAATATATATTATAAATTTTTTTATATATAAAAATTTAAATAAATATTCAATATAATATAAATAAATAATAATATTATATTATAATATAATAATTAATTTAATTTATATAATGGAAAAAAAATAATTTATATAAAAAAATTATAATAAAATAATTATATAATTTTGTATAATATAATATTAAATTAATATAAATAAATATATTTTTATATAATAATAATTGGAGAGAGAGTAAATATCGATACTGATAAATTGTTAGATAATACCATTGTTTTTATAAGGGTTTGAAGACAATAATGAAATATAGAACATGCAAAAATAATCTTATTTGTATTTGTGTTATACTTATTTATATAAACAACATTTTGTGTGAAACAGCTGATAATCACGAAAATGGTCTACATTGGTGACTTCACCTATCACTGATGACTTCACCATAAATAATACATTAAACACAATTATACAATTCCCATTATTTACTGTAAAAAAAATTTCAACAAAATATGCATTCCATAATAAAAAAATTGATGTAGGCATGTCTGGAAAGCATCTGAAAAGCACACTGCAGTTAATGTATTAATATTATAATTTATAGTTATACATTTATATTATACACGCATTGGAATATGGACCACGTTACATACGAACTTACGTAGTTTTCTATTGTTAGAGGATTAAACATACTCGTCATGACCAAGATATTAGTAGCATCTTATGACGTACGTATTTTATTGTAAAAATATAAACTAACTGAAACATTGCAAACATCCGGATTACAAAGAGTAAATTAATGAAGTCAAACAGATCTAGCTATTGTTCATTTATATGGAAACCTAACAGGTCTGATAGAAATATCTTTATTTTCTATTTTCTATTCTTTTGAATCCATTTAACGCATTATTTTGACAATATAAACGACCCAAGTTATTGTAAACATCCAGGTTATAGGAGTAGATCAGTAGAATCAAATATACCTGACTTATTGTTCAGTTTATTCTGTTACATGCTGGGTCAGGTAAAAACATCTATTTTTTTTTATATTCTTTTAAACCCTGAACAAATTCTTTTGAATCTTGAACAAATTCTTTTGAAAATCTAAACTATTAAAAAAAACATCTGGCTTACAAAGGTAGATTATTTGAATCAATCAGATCTGGTTATTATTCACTTATCTAGATATTTTATTGGATATACTTAGTTACTCAATAAATTGGTTAGAAACAACTGTAGTATGTAAACGTGTAGATTCCTTGCTAAATAACCGGAGTCCATGTTTTAAATTTTGTGCTATGTTAAATCTTGTGCCAACAATTTTATTTTGCAAATATAAGTTTCTATCATACACACACATATATAAATGATACTTGTTCAATCGTCTAACATTAATACTTTTTATTTATTTTTTTAATTCTTTTTTCATTGATAGGAAAAAAATAGAAATACGATTGTCTAGACGAAAGAATCAAAAGACCGATGGGGTGTTTCATATTGACAATCGATGCTATCGCTCACGTCTATTATTGAATTTCTTTTTGATATTCCAGAGAAAGAGAGATAGAAAAGCATTGTCAAAACCATTCGTACTTAACGTCACGAATTACGTCTACCCTTCGGAGTATTCCAACGATAAAATATTCTTTTTTGTCTTTTTTTTTGTTGTTCGATCAAAAAGAGAGACATCAAAGAAAAGAAAAAAATATTAATATGAATAGGAAAAATATATTTGACGAACAGGGAAGAAAGATATATAATTTTCACAATAGTTAAATTTGTATGGAAGACGATTAGGAGGAATATCTAAATATATATTTTCACTTTCGGATAAGTGCCAACTTCTCTAGGAGTGTTTAAAATCACCTTTTCCATTCTCCTCTTCCGCTTCTTCTTCGCATTCCATTAATTTTATAATTTAACTTTGAGGGATTTGTTAAATCCTCTTGAAATTTTATTATCTTATGAATTTTGATGTACTCCTTCACGATTTAATCTCTTCAAGAATCTTTCATTTCATTAATACCATAAAATATATTTATTTTTTATTTTATTTGTAATATATAAAGAGAATCAATTAAAATTTATTTACTGGTTAAAAAATCAAAATTGTACATTCATCTTCGTAACTTATTAATTTTTGATAAGATTTAAATGTTCACACATTTGTCCCAAAAGCCTTGAAAAGATTAAAACGTTTCATTCTTTGTAACTGTACATTAATATATATATATATATATATATATATATATAAATACATAAATAAAGTATACCTGTGAGTTTAAAATAGTTGAAAAAAAAAATAAAATAAATTTGGAAGAGTATGAAGGGAAAGAGTGCACTTTTGTAATAACTCTTATATCTTTGCGAACGATAACATTGTGAACTTGGACAAATCTCGTTGACATAATTTCTCAACTCATTATCATTCACTCTCTCTCACTTTCTCAGAAAGATTATGCAAGGGGAATAAATTGATTCATAAATTTCGGCGTTATCCCATCTATCAAGTTAATTTGTGTGCACATGAAGAATCATTTAATTGACATTTTATAAACGTGTCATATAATTTGCAATTTGTTTAAAGTATTTTTTTCTTTATTGTTGTAAAAATATATTAATTAATTGTATGCGTTTGTTTAGGATATGCTTGGGTAACATTGGCCACAAACGATGCCTATTCTTTGGGAGCATTGGTATTGGCGCATTCTTTGCGCCGAGTTGACACCAAACACGAGCTTGCAGTTTTGGTCACTACAGGAGTAACGAGTATGATGAGGTACATTGTTCATGTTCTTTTTTTTCTTTTTTAATAATAATAATAATTTAAATTTTATGATTAAATTTCTCTATTTTATTTCTTAGAGAAAAATTGGCAGCGGTATTCAATTTGGTACAGGAAGTAAACGTTCTCGATTCGAAAGACGAAGCTAATCTGGCACTTTTGGCAAGGCCAGAGTTGGGTATCACATTTACGAAATTACATTGTTGGAGGCTAACTCAATACGAAAAATGCGTGTTTGTAGACGCTGATACGCTTGTGAGTAACTGATAGATATTAAAATGTCAAGGTACTCAATGAAAAAATTCTTTATTTTATTATTTCATTCTTTTTTCATTATTTCTCTTGAAACGATGTAATTCATTTCAGATTGTAAAAAATTGATTGCATTCTAAAAAAAGATAAATAAATAAAATGCATTTATTTTTCCTTTTTTATATTACTAATATTTTTATATTCTTTTATTTATTTTTATTTTTATTATATTTTTTTGAATGAATACAATCAATTTTTTATGATTTGTAATTTATTGCATTGCAAGAGAAATCAAAGAAAACTGAACATATATCTTTGGTTCCTATTTTTTTTTTATTGTTTTTATTTTTTCCCCCCTAATTTCTTTAAAATTAATTCAATCAATTCCAATAAACAAAAAATTAAAATTAATATTAAATATTAAATATTATTATTATAATTAAATATATTAATATTAAATATTAAAAATTAAATTAAAATTAACATTAATTAAATTAATTAAAGACAAATAATAGAAATAGGAAGAGAAATCCTTTTTTTGTTTCTTCTTTTTTGTTTCATTTATTTATGTCTATTTTTTTTTTGTATTACTTTATTAATGGAATAAATTTTTCAGGTGGTAAGAAACTGTGACGAGTTATTCGAACGTGAAGAATTATCAGCCGCACATGACGTTGGTTGGCCAGATTGTTTCAATTCCGGTGTATTTGTGTACAGACCATCTCAACAAACGTTCGCTTCTATTACTGCCTTTGCAGCAGCTAAAGGTTCTTTTGATGGGGGTGATCAAGGGTTATTAAATATGTACTTTAATGATTGGGCACGAAAAGATATATCGAAACATTTACCATTCATCTACAATATGTGCTCTACGGCATCCTATTCTTATCTTCCCGCTTTTAAACAGTAAGATTTACTTGAACATCTTTTTTCTTTTTATATTTTTGTATATTTATTTACTTCTTTTCATTTGGTTTGTAAACGTCATTGGTTTTTCTATTTAGATTTGGTGAAGATGTTAGAATAATACACTTCATTGGAATCACAAAACCATGGTTACAGTATTTTGATACTCTGACCGGTATCGTACAACCACCATCAGGCATGAATCATTTGCAACCATTGCTGCAATTATGGTGGAATATCTTTTGCGAAAAAGTGCATCCGCAGTTATCACCTGTTATGGTAAGTTCTCATTGTTTAGAACGTGTTGAGTGTATTTTTTTATTTTACTTTTTTTTGAAAATGCTTTTCTAAATTTCATGTGTATAGCAAATAACGAACAATCATTTTTTGTTTTTTCCTATTTTTTTTTGTTTATTGAGAAAAAGAAATATCTATATACATATATTATGAATTACGTATCTATTCGCAAGCACATAAAAGGTCGAGTTAATTTATGTTTTCTTTTTTCTTTATTTTCTTTTCTAAAAGAGCGATAAATATTTTCAAGTAGATAATTTACGTTACGTATATAAATTTTTTTTTATCGTGATGACGTATATTAATTTAAAAATAAAAAAAAATTAAAAATATGAAGAAAAAGAAAAGAAAAGATATTTAGACACGTTTTTTCTTTCTTTCTTTTATGAACGTTCGAAACGAAACATTAAGCTGTCTTGCACGTCATACAAAATATTAATAAAAAGATAATCGTTGAGTGAACTTTAAAATGGGGTATAAAAAAAAAGGAGGATTTTTGTGAATGAAAAAAAAAAAAAATTCTTATGTCATCAACGTACATAAAAATCACACCTCGTATCGCTTGTTTATCCATCTATTAATTTTCCAAGCAAAGCAATGACCAATTGAATTCAAGTAAGATTAATGAAGAGGTAAGAAAATAGATCAAGATCATTGCTTTTTATTTTTTTTTTAAATTCCTAGTACGCTCTTGTAGTATATTAAATATTATATATATTATTTATTTTTTTACTTCAATATTTATTAGCGTGCACCGTAGATTATTTAAACACACACATATATATATATTATATGGTAGCGTATGATTCGTACTTAGAATAAAGAAAAATGCTTTTTAGAAAATTTTTTACGGGATACCTTGGAAAAACGTAAGAAAAACAAAAATGATGTGAGATTATGTGCTTTTTAGTAATGTAAATATACATTTTGTTTTATATATATAATTTATATAGATATACTTGAATGGGTCACAAGTTTCTAAATAATTCTTCAATATTAATTCTTTCCATTAAAGCTTAATCTTTCTTTTCAGATTTAAACAAAAATTTTTACTTATGTTAGTCTTGTAACCAGTTAATTGTGATATTTATTATTTAAACAAATTTTAGAAACTTTTGACCAACTTTTGTCGAGGCTGTTACACCTTGATGTGCTATAAATAGATTAATTTTTATTATTTTTATTATTTTGCACCTATTTTGCTTATAAAATGAAATTTAATATACAGATCATTAATGTAGCTGTTAAACTCTAACATTTTTTTCAATTTCTTATGTTTTTAATTATTACAATTCAAAATTTATGCTACATTATTTTCTGTATATTCTCTTGTAATATATATATATATATTTTTTTTTCCACTAATCATATTAATAGCTGTATTGATAATTATTTTATAGAAATATTTGTTTTCTCAAAAAAAAAAAAAGACACATATAAAATCATTGTATTTAGTCACAGTGCTAACCTATGATAATATTTGTTATATACAGCTTTTAATATGCCTTGAAAAACATTTTTTCTTTCCTTTTTTTTTCTTCTTTTTCTTTTTCGTTCGTATTATTTTTTTTTTTATCATAAACATTGGACAGTGTCTATTTTTTTTCTTTTTCTATTAATTTTGTTTCTATCCCATTAATCCATTCGTCGAATGACATTAGTATGCTATCACCATGATAATAAATAGATTTATATATATCTATTTATAATACTTATGTTCAAAATGAATGGATTAAGCATGATTATGGTAATCTAGTGTGGCATTAATAAATTTAGGTTTTTATCTAGTCCAAGTAATTGTGATTGTACATTTAATTGCAATGAATTGTATTAACATATAGAATAAGAATTGTCATTTACACATAATGCACAATATTAATATGCAAATGCACAAATATTAATAGTGTGTAATATAAAGATAGTTTTCGATAGAAATTGAGATTATTTTATCGTGCGAAACGAATTATCTTTTACATATACATATATATATTAATTATGGGAATATAAAATTTGTTATTTGGCACTTTTTTTAAGAAAAATGGACACTGCCACACTAGTTCATCACTAACCAATTGAGTGTGCATTTTTCTGTTTTGGCATGATGCTTGCATAGGCCACCAGCACATTGGCACCAATTTGGCACGATATTACTCCTTTATCTTTCGTATCCTTTATCCCATCGAACAATCCTATTTACAATGACACGAACTATAAATCATCGTACAGTGACGTTTGCTCAAAAACACCAGACTTCTCAGAATTCAAGGATCCTTGGGAAAATTATTCTTGGAAAAAAACTGAAACTATCTACATGGATAAGGATAAAGAAAGCATTGAAAATGTTCAATACTTCTATGATAATAATCAAATATCTGAATTTCCATCGAGTGGAAATCATCATCATTGCGTGTACGAAGAAACCGTGAATTATAATTACCACAAGCCACCTTCTCAAGATTCTAATCAATTTCATCCTGTTAATTACGATGAATGTTCGACTAATCTACATTCCGTAGAGTATAACAGAAATGATGAGAATGTATTATCAATCACCGAACATAAGAAACATGATGATTTAACTCATTTACATTCGAAAGATAATTATGAACAACATTATTCTAGAGAATCGGAACAACATCATTGGAAAAATGATCAATATCAACATATGTCACACATACACCCTGATGTGCATCAACATGTTCAAGAACGGCACGAGCAAGAACAACATCAGCATCATTTGGAATTTCGATATGAAACTAATGAAAATGATCAGAAATTTACATCTGACAATCGTCATGTCGATTTTCATATTAAACATGAAACTCATAATCAACAGGCATATCATATTAATCAACAACAAGAATCTAATACCTCGCATCATCAACAACAGCAACAACAACAACATCATCATGATTATCATGAACAAAAAGAATCAAATCAGGAAGAACAAAAAGAAAGACATTATCAACATAATATACAGCAAATGACAGACTTTATTCAACCTAGTCACGACAGTACGCATAACAGTGAACATAAGACTACAGAGACAATAGTTAACGAGCAAAATAATTATTCTAGTAATATCATAGATAAACAGACAGACGAACAGAAATTAATATCCCATCCTTCCTCTGAGCCCTGTACAGATCTCCACAATGTAGCAACGCAATCTGACCTGAATTTAACAGGACATCTAGACAGTTCAAATGTAAGTAACTCTGTTCCCATACTTGTTCTCCTAAATTAAACTAGAAACAAGTACGAAAAAAAAGAAATTGATAACCTTATCCGAATATATCCTAAAAACTTCTTTTTAACAAAATAAAATTAGTTAATACGTGATTGGGGTAATATCTTTGTAATATATTAAAATCATCGGAAAAAAATAAAAACAAGAAATAGATCAAAAAAAAAAAAAGAAAAGAAAAGAAAAAGTCGTTTTGACGTAGAGTAGCTTTAAATAAATTTTGGGTTTTAGGCAGTGTTGGGTATTATTTAAAAATTAATCATAATAATAAATTAAAAACGGAAATATATATTATACAGTGTAATTCGTCAATGTTTTAAATTTAGTGAATAATTGTTCACTAAAATACAAGATTCAATAGTTAAAAAACTACATAGTAGACATATTAAATCATTGACGAATTATAATGAATAATAATAAATAATTTAACAAATATAATTATAGCGTATAATTCATCAAAAAGCATAAGTAATGCTTAATTTTTAATTATTATGCTACTAACTGATGATATCTGCATTCCATAATTATAATAAAGCTTATAAATGTTTGTAAATTCTTTTACACTCTATTAATTATTATATTGTGCACTTGACGTTATTATTATTAAATCTATATAATATTTTGTAATAATATACATGTATATATATATATATAAGAATTAAAACATGGCGTGTAAATTACATATTACATTTGCAATATACTTTTGAATATATGCCGCTTTTATTATGTTGCATCCGATAATTTATAATAAATATATATTTATATATGCTTTATTTAGAATAATAATTTGCTAAAGGTGTATTGAAATGACTTAATTAATTATTTATAATTAATTTCATAGGCTGGTCTTGCTGGTGCATTAGCTCAAATGACATTGGGAGAACCAAGGAGTGCAGAACAAATTGCTTTAGAAGAACACATGAGGAAACAAAGTTGGGAACAAGGTCAAATTGATTATATGGGTCGCGACAGTTTCGATAATATATGGAAAAAAATTTGCGAAACGCTTTCATCAACTTCAAGGCAACCTTCTCCGCCTAAAACAACCGCTCAGGTAAACATATTATTTATATATATATTAAGGTTTATATTATATTATATATAAGGTATATTATATAATATATAAGGTATATTAAGGCTCAGGTAAACATATTATTATTTATAAAAATAAAATCTGTTTGTTGTGTCAACGAATATTATATATTTTACGTATACTATTTTTAGGATGAGGTAAAAACTGATAAAACAGAAGAAACAACTAAAAAAGAAAGTACCGATTCTGTGCCTAAGTCTGAAGGCAGCGATGATATTAAAAGTCCGACAAAAGGTACATTCAATATTTAAAATAATTTTACTTTATATTTAGATGTAAGAATTAAATATAGAATACAAAAGTAAATATAATATATTAAAATTGTTTCATATTAAAGTATGATAATAATCGATTATTATTTAAAAATTGATTGATTCATCGGGATTTCTAAAGAGAAAAAAAACAACATGGTAAAACAATAAAGAAGTTGCATGAACGAAGTCATAAAGATAATTGCAATGAAATTTTGAATACGCTCGTAATTGATATCATTAACAATTGTTTCAAATTTGCTTTGCCTTTCTGTTTGTTTCTTTATTTCTATTTAATACAGCATGTGCTATAAAAATTGACAAAAATAATTAAGAGAAATATATTACGGAATATATAAATATAGTTTATAGAAAAGAAACAAAAAATATTTTGAATATTGATTTGTAAGGCTTAATATTTTGTTTTGATTGATCAAAGAAGTAAAAAACGAAGAATGGATTGTAATACAATTAATCAAGTTTGAGTGTTTAAAACAGGAACAGAGGACAGCAACTAACAGACCATGGCACCATAGCATTGCTGCGTCTTGTTTTGTCGTTATGCTTTACTGGGGTAAATATTCCAAGTGCTCACACTAATCGTGACAACAATGTTGGCCTTGTGTAATATATACATTCATTTTTCATACTTAATTTTTTACATTTTTTAATTATAAATCATACTTATTCACATTTATTTCATAATTTTTGTCGATAAACAAATAAAACTGCTTAAAAATATCATCATAAATGTGCTATGGGAGTATGAAAACAGCACAAATAGTAATTTTCATATTTTTTCAATAACAGCACGCCATTTAAAATGCTTACTTAATTAGCTTTTAATTTAAATGGAAGAAGCAAAGTAGTTAATAAACAGTGCTGCTTAATTAAAACATGCTAAATGTTTAATATATTCTAAAAAAAAAAAATTAAATCCACCTATTATTTCAATGCTTCATATGCTTTAATATAACAAATTATTATTATTATTATTATTATTTAAATAAATATTTTTAATAATCATTCATAATTTCATTCTCATGAATATCAGTGTCATAGGCTTCTCAATAATTAATAAAAAATATTAATAAATTTATATTATTTTATCAATAGACTACTATTTGCACATATACATACACAAATCAGAATTACAGAAAAGTAGTAATTAGAATGTATTATACAGGATGGCTCATAAATCAGTTGACAAAAATACATTATTATTGTAAACAAGTTTAATTTATATACTTAAAGTCATATACAAATAACATTTAATACAAAAGAAAAAAACTGCAATAACATATTACTAACTTATATTAAATGCTGAAAGTGTTGTGCTTCATTTTCAATGCAAAATCAAATCTATTCAATACAGAAACATGAATTTTGTTATAAATTATTACAATATTAATACATACAATAATAATACATTTTTGTTAATTGATTTATGGATCATCTTGTATAAAAAGAACTTACAATTAGTAAATAAGAAAAATTATTAAATTTAAAGGTAAAATGGTTATAAAATATAAAACCAAAAATCTACTTTTCTGTAAATCAAAATATAAAACTCATGTAAATTTATGTTAATTATTTATGTTTTCTTTAGCTGAAACAACTAGTGATCTGAGCGTAAAACAATCTTTGATTTGTAATATTCCTAAGGATGATATTTCACAAAAAGAAACGTCTGAAATGCTTATAAAAGATGAATCTGCTGATATTAATAAACAAAGTTCCTCCGTATGTGAAGAAGTCGATTTAAAAGAATCAAAAGAAATTTCTGAAGCAGATGCAGGATTACTTGTGACACAAACTACCAAAGAAACAGATTTACCTTCCTTATCTTCTGATCAAACGACGATTTTAAAAGAAAATTTATTAATAGATCCGATACAAGACGTTACTGTTAAAGAAGAATTAAATAAAAAAACAGTGGAAGAAGAAAATGTTGATATTCAAACAAATGTAGACAAAGTAGAAGAATCGAGTATTGAACAAGATACAAAATGTTCTTCTGTGTGTGCTTCTGAAATTATGCTTACTAATCCTGTACCAATACAAGTAGTGGAATCAGTTTTACAAGCTGAACCGAAAGAATCTGTTTCGCAAGATCTAAAATTAATAACAGAAGAAGTAATTTCCTCTACGGTTGCACCTCTTCAAGAATCTGTAGTAGCTTTTTCTGAAACACCAGTTGAATTAACTGATAGAACGCAATTATGCGATTCAACTTTATTAGTATCATCGAACGAAGCTGCTAATATAATAAATCCAAATACAACATCAACTATAAGTCAAAATGGAGGTACTGTTGTTAATGGATCGACGATGAAATTAGATGAAAGTGATTCGTTATTAACACCATCTGTACTCAAGCAAGTAGTAGAGGAAATTCAAAGTTCGCGAGTAGAAGAAAGCCAACCACAAAAGACTGAAATGTTAAGTGAACAGTTGAGTCCAACGGAGAGTTCACAAATTAAACAAGAAGAAGGAACTGAAAATGTTGAAATAAAGAAAGAAACAGAAGGTCAAAGTACTTCAACAGAATCAAAGATAAAACAATCGGAAGATGTGCAAACAATTGTCGAAGGAGCTGCAGCAGTAGTGGAAAAAACTTTAGAGCCTTCTTCTTTGGAATCAACGTCAATAGAATGTCCAATTAGGCCTACTAGAACAAAAGAAATATCTATACCTTCTACACCAACTGTAACAGAACCTACTCCTCCAACTAGTCCTGTAGATGTCGGTACACAAGATGTAGAAAGCCAAGGAAAGACTGCTAAAAAAACTACAAAAAAGATTGCTAAAAAAGCAAGCGTAGAAAGTGATTCAGCAGAACGAGCTGATACTGATACTACTGAAAAAAAGACTGCAAAGAAAGTCGTTAAAAAGGTTGTGAAAAAACCAAAAGAAAGTCAGGAAGAAGGCGGAGAATGCTCTAGTTCTACTGATAAACCTAAAAAGACTGGAAAAAGCACAAAGAAAATAATAAAACCTTCGTTAAGTTTAGAAACTGATACATCTATTCCTGAAACTCCACCGCCTGGTAATTCTGATGTACCAGTTCCCCCAAAAAGGAAAGTTAAAACTTCTGCATCCAATAAACCTGCATCTACTGCTCCAAAATCTGATACAGGATCATGATAAGCATAACTAATTGACAATAATGTTTTGAAATATTTGCAAAAATTCTATGCTAAATATGGCACCTTATATAAACTATTGTAAAGGGGTGATAATTGCTAGTCTATCATGATTTTTGATACTTTTCAAACATTATAGTTTATCTAACAAAAATTTAAACACCTGATGCTGTATACCCTTTCAAATTATTACTTTATCAGTACATTTATTTGTTATGCTATGCGTCTCTATTTATATATTATATTACTTATTATTAATTCTCTTTTTTAGTTAACCTTTTTTTTTTTTTAAGAAACATTATTTACCACAGAATGAAAAAAATACAGCATTTGCTTTTTGTAGTTCACCTCTATCTATTTTATTAAGAGATCATAATTCGTAATTTGGATTACAAATTTCTTTTTTGTTACCGTTATTATTATTATTATTATTTTTTAAAGGAATATTTTATATTTGCAATCAGTTTTGATATTTACAAAAAAAATATATATATATTGCCAATTGTGATTCATTCAAAATGTTAATAATATAAGCGTATAAGCAAGATTAAAATAATGATCAATTGCAAGAATGTTAAACAACGAATGATGTATTTTTTAACTAGTCGAACAGCTTACAGATGATATTTTCTTATTAACACTGTACATGATATTCTTAATTATGGAATAGTTATGCACAGAGAAAGCATTGTATCTCACAATGTTCTTGTTAATATATATATATATTATATATATATATATTTACATTATTCATAATCTAATAATGTCATTATATATTCATTGCATTGCATCATCTTTTATTCATGTTACCAAATGAATTAAGAATGAATTGTATTTAACTAATTAAGATATTTTTATTGAAACTTGAAGTAATGTATATTTATATATTATCCTCTAACTCAATAAAGAATCCATCAAAAAGCAATTATTAAGTTGAAATATAATTACTTTTCTTATTAATATATACAATTATTATATTTTATATAATTCACAATTAGTAATTATATTATTAGCATAATAAAGAATTTGATAATTTTTTAGTAAAATAGGAATATTGTAAATAGAAGAAACTTAATACATTCTGTAATAAAAATGCACCATACCTCTCTCTCTCTCTCTCTCTCTCTCTCTATCTCCTCTGCTATTATATTTTCCATAAAAATAATTTAACATACTGTAAATAAATAGAAAAAGAAAGTAAATAAAATAATCATAGTGACAAATAAAAACAAAATATCATATATGCAAAAATTACATATGCCATAGGGAATTCATATAGACAGAGGGCGTTCAGAGAAGCGATGCTAGATGGCGTAACGATCGACCACAGTTAATCACTAATATCTCATTGGTTGACAGTTACGCCAATAGGAAAATACGCATTGGAAACAGGATTTCCGTCCGCTTCTCATTATTAATCTGGACACCAAAGAGGAAGCATCTGTTTTTTACTTGGTGTAGTTCATAGTGCAATGTTGAATTAAAGAATTAACATTTTTTGTGTTACCAAACCATGTGTCTCGGTTCATTACCAAAAACAATATCTAAAATCTTATGTGGTGAAAATTATAAGTTCTAGTTCTAAATAGTATGGTGCATCTGCTGCACTCGATAATGCAGTTGGCAATTTTTACACTTTTTTAAGTTGATAGTACTGTCAGGGAATGTTATAAAAGTAACGTAAACGTAACCTCAAGAGTTTGTTTTACTTTGAATTCCATTAATCTAACTTTGTGTAAACGTGGTATACGTGGCATTAAAGTGTTTATTTCTTATGATAATAATATAATAATTGTTTAAGTGAAAAAAGAAAAATGTCTGAATCAGAGGGAAGTAACTTTTCCGATAATGAAAGTGAACATGGTGGAAGAGGTAGTGAAAGCGACCAGGAAGAAAATCGTAGCGTTTCTCGTAGCAGAAGTCCTTCCAGATCAGCCTCTAGGAGTCCTTCAAGATCTCGATCACGTTCTAGATCAGGATCTGGGTAAGTAGTGGCTTTTTTTTATTTTCTTGATAAGTTTGATTTCATATAATGCTCAGTTTCTAATTCTTTGTATCTACCATATTTGAACATTTAGGTCAGAAGATGGAGATGATAAAGCTGACGAAGCTGAAGAGGCTAGGTCTGATGAAGAGGAAGTCGTGGAACCAGAAGATGAACCAGAAGGTAAATTAATTTGAGTATATTCAATATTAATTGATTCATAAAAATTGAAATTTTATTTATTTAATATAAAATCTGGTTCAAAGATGCAATCAATTTAGTTTTAACTTTTATTGATACAAAAAATTTTGAATCTATCTTCAGTTTTTTAATATAGTAAAAAAATTCGGTACTTTTCCATTAGCTGGGCGTAAAAAAATTAAGATTGAAGAAAAAAAGGAAAACTCTGTTTTGAATGAATTCAGAGAATAGAGTACATGGCCCCAAACGAACATGGCTGTAAGAAAGAACCTTATGGTTGTAACAAATTTAGCGGAATTCTACATTATTTTTTTTCCCGCCTGGCTAACAGAAAAGTACCAAAAATTCAATAAAAAAAAAGAATTAACAACAAAATTTCATAATTAATTTATTGAGCCATGTTAAACTATATAAAAAAATTGTTCATTGATCTATTAACAACAGAATAATCTAAACTGATTATCAATTTAATGGCTCCACTTTGTTCATCATCTAGAAAATGAAATCAATAAAAGTTTTCTATGATTATAGGTGAAGATCTTGATGGTAGTAGCGAATATGATGAAGAAGAAGAAGAAGAAGATGAAGATAGGCCTAGAAAGAAAAAGAAAAAAGACAGATTTGGTGGATTTATCATTGATGAAGCTGAAGTAGATGATGAAGTAGAAGATGACGAAGAATGGGAAGAAGGAGCTCAAGAAATTGGTATCGTAGGCAATGAAGTGGATGAATTAGGACCTACTGCGAGAGAAATTGAAGGAAGACGTAGAGGCACTAATCTTTGGGAGTAAGTTTTAAATATTTAACATATTAAAAATTGATAACATATTGTTGCTAGCAGGACAAATATATGTTTCATAATTAACACTCATTTTTCATTAAAAATAATTTTTAACAGCTCTCAGAAAGAAGATGAAATAGAAGAATACTTGAGAAAAAAGTATGCAGATGAATCTGCAGCTGCTCGTCACTTTGGTGATGGTGGTGAAGAAATGAGCGATGAAATAACTCAACAAACTTTACTTCCTGGAGTTAAAGATCCTAATCTTTGGATGGTCAAATGTCGTATTGGAGAAGAAAAATCAACGGCGCTTTTATTGATGCGAAAGTTTATTACATATCAATTTTCTGGTATGACATGTTTTTTATTTCATTTCAAAATATATATTTGAATTAATTATTATTAAATAATTATTATATAATTAATTATTTGATTGACATTTTTTCTTGTAGGGGAACCACTTCAAATTAAATCAGTTGTTGTACCGGAAGGTGTAAAAGGTTACATTTATATAGAAGCATATAAACAACCTCACATAAAAGCTGCTATAGAAAATGTTGGTAATTTAAGAATGGGCATATGGAAACAACAGATGGTACCGATTAAAGAAATGACTGATGTATTAAGAGTCGTTAAAGAACAAACAGGATTAAAGGCTAAACAATGGGTCCGATTAAAAAGAGGCATTTATAAGGATGACATAGCACAAGTAGATTACGTTGATTTGGCACAAAATCAAGTGCATTTAAAATTATTACCAAGAATAGATTATACTCGGCCTCGTGGTGCATTGAGAACAGCTCAAAGTGAATCAGAAGCTTTAAAAAGAAGGAAAAAGAGAAGACCACCTGCGAAACCATTTAATCCTGAAGCAATTCGTGCTATTGGAGGGGAGGTTACTAGCGATGGAGATTTCTTAATTTTTGAAGGCAACAGATATAGTCGAAAAGGGTAAATATATTTAATATAATGCATATGCATATGTTGTGCCATTGTCTTATGATTCTATTAATTTCTAATATTATATTTTCTTATCAAAAATTTTGGATTATGTTTTCAGATTTTTGTATAAAAATTTCACGACAAGTGCTATTGTAGCAGAAGGAGTTAAACCGTCCCTTTCAGAACTAGAAAGATTTGAAGAAGCACCAGAAGGTGTTGAAATAGATTTAAGTGGAGCTCCAGCAACAGGAACACCTGCTGGAAAAGAAGATCAAGCGGTAACACATTCCTTCAGCAATGGTGATAACGTAGAAGTATGCGAGGGTGAATTGATAAATTTGCAAGGAAAAATAGTCTCAATAGATGGAAACCTAATAATGGTTATGCCAAAACATGAAGAACTGAAAGATGCTTTAGAATTCCGATCATGCGAGTTGAGGAAATATTTTGTTATGGGTGATCATGTTAAAGTAAGTATACGTTTTACTTTATATAGTACAAAATATAATTTATAGTAATTAATATTATAAGAATGGCCAATAATAATAATAATAATTATAATAATTGTAATAAATGTTTGATTTTACCAGGTAGTTGCTGGAAGATACGAAGGAGACACTGGTTTGATTGTTAGAGTGGAACCAAACAGAGTTGTTTTGTTCTCTGATTTATCAATGCACGAATTGGAAGTGCTTCCCAGAGATTTACAATTATGTTCAGATATGGCAACTGGTGTTGATAGTTTAGGCCAGTTTCAGTGGGGTGATTTAGTTCAACTTGATGCTCAAACAGTTGGCGTTATAGTTCGTCTTGAACGTGAGAATTTCCATGTTCTTTCTATGCACGGTAAAGTAATCGAAGCTAGACCACAAGGATTAACGAAACGTCGAGAAAATAGGAACGCAGTTGCGTTAGATTCACAACAAAATCCAATACAAAAAAAAGATATTGTTAAAGTAGTCGATGGACCACACGCAGGAAGAGGTGGTGAAATAAAACATCTTTATAGAAGTTTTGCATTCTTACATTCAAGAATGTTTGTTGATAATGGAGGCATATTCGTATGTAAAACAAGACATTTACAACTTTCTGGTGGAAATAAATCAGGTGTTACATCTATGTCACCAATCTCAGGATTTATGTCACCAAGAATTGCATCTCCGATGCATCCCAGTGGGTTAGTATTAAATCTTTTATTTGTTTTTTATATTAGGGGTACCAACAAATCTTTTCATACTTGATAGTTTAATTATTATTAAATATATTTATATTTTTAAATTTTATAATAAAAATGAAAAGATTTTTCGATACTTTCAATTTAATTTGATATTCATAATATATAACATAATATAATGAATATGTAAATAATTTTTATAATAGGGGTGGAATGGGCCGAGGTGGTGGTGGTGGTAGAGGCAGAGGTCGTGGTGGAGGTACAAGAAGAGACAGGGAATTAATAGGAACTACAATCAAAATAACTGGTGGACCTTACAAAGGAAACGTAGGCATAGTTAAAGATGCTACAGAAAATACTGCACGTGTAGAATTACATTCTACGTGTCAAACAATATCTGTGGATAGATCTCACATAGCGAACGTTGGAGTACCAACAAAAGATGGTGGTTTCAGCAGTTACAGTCGTACACCAGCATATACAGCTGGTGGACAAACACCAATGTATGCAAGAGATGGTTCCAAAACTCCTATGCATGGATCTCAAACACCTATGTACGAAAGTAAGTGTCATTTACAATTATATATCATCAATATTGCTATTTTATTATAAAATACTAACAAAAAATGTTTAAAAATTATACTCCAATAAATATCAACTATGAAAAATAATCGATAACATTTCTATTACAGATGGTTCACGTACACCTCATTATGGTTCTATGACTCCATCCCATGATGGTTCACGAACACCTGGTCAATCTGGTGCTTGGGATCCTACAATCACCAATACCCCAGCTAGAACAAATGACTTCGATGGTTATGGCATGGAAGAAGCTGGTTCACCAGGATATGTATCTGGTTATCCTTCTACTAGTAATCCTTTCACTCCTCAAACACCAGGTACTATGTATGGATCTGAGCAAAGTTACAGTACATATCAAGCGAGTCCTAGTCCTGCTGGTAGTGCGACTGCAAGTCCAAGTCCTGCAGGTTATGTTGCTACACCATCACCAAGTGGAACTGGATATACTACAAGTCCTCATGGAGCATTCGCTACTCCCTCACCAATGGGTTACAGTCCTATGACACCAGGTAAGAAAATGCAACCTATTTAGCTTTAATGGAAATTCACTTTCCAGTTTTGTTGAAATATTTCATAAGATAAAATATCCTGTTTTATTAAATAATATTAATTTGTATTACAGGAGTAGCAGGAAGTCCTTATAATCCACAAACACCAGGTTCAGGTTTAGATGCTGGATCTGGTTCTGGAATGATTAATAATACTGAATGGCACACAACAGATATAGAAGTACGAATACGAGATTCCCATCCGGATCCTGCATTAGTTGGACAGCAGGGTATAATAAGAGGAATTTCTGTAAGTATTACAAATAACTTGTGATACTATTCATAAACTTTATTTATATATATTAATAAATAATTTATTATAATAATAATTTCTTATCAATTAGGCCGGTATGTGTGCTGTGTTTCTACCAGTAGAAGACAGAGTCGTAAATTTGGTTTGCGATCAATTGGAACCTGTAGTACCTTCAAGAGGAGACCGAGTGAAAGTAATCGTTGGAGAAGAACGAGAAGCTGTTGGAACTTTACTTTCGATAGACAATCAGGAAGGTGTTGTTAAATTGAACACCGACGAAGTTAAAATGTTACATTTACGATTTTTATGTAAAATGAAGTCGTCCTAATCTTTCCATTTTTACATCTACAAAATTTGAAAGTAATATACGCATTTTGAAATATTAATATTAATATTATAAACGAATTAGGCTTAAGTTATTTATTAGGAAAAATTATGATTAAGCCATCAAGAGTATATTCTTTTTCTGTGGATATATTTACAGTGACTCATGAAAGAATTTGAACATTTAACATGAAATATTTTTCATTTCTATGTTGTATTTGTTTTATTATTGATATGTACTATGATTTGAAATAATCAACAAATTTGCAACATAGGTATAATATCTATATAGGTATCTATATAACTTTTTTTTTTAATGAAATGGTTGTTTATTCGATTTTAATCTCAAATGCGAAGTTTGCTGCGTTAGAAATGGACGACAAAATCGTGACGGAAGGGGATAAAGAAATTGATTGAAATAAGGTCATAAAACGATTTTTGAGGAAAACATTTGTTTGAAAAGCTATACAAAAAAAAATACAAAGAAAAAATTGTACGGATAGAGACAATCGAGATTTGTTTATACGGAGCATGAAACCACATTTTTTATGGTTTCTTTTAATACTTGTAATAAGTATAACTTCTGACAAACAAAGGTATCTAATTCGTATATGTAATTTAAATTATAATTCAGAATGTATCACCTAATGTCTTCAACAACAACAAAATTCATTACAAAAGTTAGGAAACGTGAGATTAAACAATTAGTTGTGGTAATCTCTTTAAAAAGTGTGTACATTAATTGTGTCGTCAAAATGAAGCGATGACGAGTGCGCTCGTCAAATACAGAGTACGTGTAATTATAATATTGAATTAAGTTGTAATCAAATTATAGTTTTATTTCCTTTTTTTTTTTGATAAAGTAAATTTTATAATTAACAAATTATTGTAAAAAATCAGTCACTTAGAAACATGATTAGAATCAGATTACGAAACACAATGATATTTCGTAAATTGAACAATAATATCTTTATTTTTTTCCGAACATTATTTTTGCAAAATTATTGTAAAATACATTTTTGTGTATCATTATTTTTTAAAGATATGCTTGATATATAATGTGGAAAATGCTTTCCATTGACATGTATAGGCGGTTAGGTTTAGTTGGCTGAATTTGTTCTACTTTGTTAGATTATATGTATAGCATTTTTATAATAAAAATTATTTTTTGTTTTATTTTTTGTCTTCGTCTTTAGATATTTCTAACATTTTGAAATTTACGAATATATTTTAGTTTCTACTGAAATTTCAATTTAATAGTAAGTTTACGAGTAATGAGAAAAAATAACTAGGAAATTGATGAATAAAAAAAAGAAATATGTATTTTGTAGTATACATCATACAACGTTTAAAAATTAGAATGCTGAGAGAAGGAAAATGATTTCGAATATATGTATTTGTATTATTGAATAAATAAAATTTCTGTAAATCTAGTATTAAATAGGAAATAGAAATTAATTTTTCCGTATGACGAGTATATTCGTCAATCACGATTAACTGATTAACGAATGTCATACTTGCATTATTATTAAGTATATTTAAAAAATATTATGTAAAATATAATGTTCGAATTAAAATCGAAAAATTTAATAATGTTGCTTTATTATAATCCTGTTTATCATATTACCTGTCTTATTAATATAGAACAACAGGTAACAAAGTTTTGAAAAATAACGAGAACATTGGTACGGTATTATTTGAGAGGAGTGATTGCATGAAACGTTGTTGGTCAAACGAGGAATTTACTATTTTGAATAGTCGACGTATGTTTCAAGATATTTTACCTAAGGTACAAATTACATGTGATGATGATAATAGGATAAAAAGAGACTTTGAGTTGTTACGCAGTTTTCATTAATTATCAGCAATTATTGAATTTGAGAAAATATATGAAAAATACAGTTGTTATTTGATCCATTGGATATATGGTACCTGATAAGATATTAAGGTAAATGAAAATACTCGGTTATGTTTTATTCAAATATTTTATCCATATTACTTTGGTATTTAAAATATATTGGAGTATTTATATTTTCAAAATATTGTTGACTGAATTTAAAAAAAGTATAAAAAATATAGATTTTACTGCACGATCTGTTAAATTCCAAGGTAGATGAATATCTGGTTATTAGGAATATGTTTCTCAAAGCTTTCTAAATAATAATAAAAACATTTAAAACAACAGCAATAATAATAATAATAATAATAATAATAATAATAATAATAATACAAAAAATTAATTAAATTTATATTAATTGTTTACACAAATTCAAATACAATTTTTTAAAATAATAATAAACTGTGTAAAATTGTAAGTAACAGGATTCATGATAATGTGAGTTGTATTGCCGTAAGTCTTTTTAGATTTGTATTTTTCATTTACCTGGGTGTCTTACTCAAATACTTTGGTACTTTGCGAACTGAGTAAAATTTTTGATCTGTAAATCTAATTAGCTGATTTTTTATTTTTAAACATTGCATAACAACTCTTTACGTGATGATACTTAATATGATTATTGTATTGTATCAGATTTATTGTAACATTGTAGGTGAATGCGATTGATTATCAGAACGATCAATACATAGCTTTGTTAATGGATTATTTTCACATTTGTTTTGAATCCGTACGCAAGCTTTCAATAGGAAAATCGAAACATTTGATGTTGAAAGCTCTGGCCGATGTAATGGGTGGTTATTTGCGAGCTTACATATTACCACTTACCAAACAATCATATTACGCAGGAAATATCAAGTATCATAACGCAAAAAAACTTTTCGAGCTTTACGATGAATTAAAAGATTTTCTTCATACAAATGGCGTTGGTTGGTCCAAACCACGTCCTGAAATTACACCTATGAAAATGTCGTTAATTATAACAACACCATCGGAATCTTCCGTAGCTTGTAATGGATTAATTACATTTCCTATTCGTGATGATAAAGATACTCGTCATTTACAAAGAAGACACGCTCGTAGAAAGATAAAACGATTTATTTCTCGAATTAGATTGAGAAGATTTTTACATACAGGTATTTTTTTATATTATAATGATTGGTTTTAATTTTTAATTGTTCTTAATATTATTTGATATGGAGTTATACTATTAATAATATATTAGTATAATTATACTATTGCATATTAAATATAAATTATACTTGAAATAGAAATATCAAATATTTTTTATGATTTACTAAAAAAATATTTAATTATATAATTATATTATAGTATAGTTTATTTATTTATATTATAAATTAAACTCTAGAAGTATAATGTATATTTGAAAAAATTATTAACAACTGTCTTTAATCTAAATTTCTTTTATTTTTGTTAGAAAAGTATTTAATATAAAATTAGTATAATTATACTACAAATATAGTTTTTAATTTAAATTAATATTATAGTTATACTATAATATAGACAATATAATTTAATAATTAAACTATCAGTTATAGAACATTTTGTATATTTATTAAACACTTCATAACATTAAAAATAATTAACAATAATTTTTGAAATGTTCAATTTAAGGATACAACGATGTTTACAATACTGACGAATCAGCGATTGTTCCAATTCCTTTTTTGGATGACGAAACTGATCCGAACAGGTTTATCTATAAATTTGAATTTTCAAATGTATTTTCAATGTTTTCTTTATATTTTTTGTCTCGTATTAATATAATTGAATAATACCTAACAGTATCGCAGTACCATTCAAATCGGACAGTCTTCAGTCTTTGTATTCTCCACAATCGGCATTCATTCTCGTTAAATATTACACGGCTAGTGTGAAGTGTATTGTATCGAAGACAAAAACGAAAGCTGCGTTGGATAATTTTAATAGTAACTTCTTCTCTTGGCTGCAGCAATCAGTACGTTGTGAGTTTTATTATTACTTTTTTTTTATTACTTATTTATTTTATTTCATTTTAATTTATAATATTAAGAAAATTCAAATATTATTTTACGTTATAGGTAAAGGAACGTTTGAACGATGAAAAATGGTATCCAGCGTTCGGTGGAGTTTCTAGAATCATTTTCACTCTGGAAAAAACAGGTATTTTGTATACACAAAAATGAAGTCTTGAAAAAACAAAAAACAATAAAATTCCGTCCAGTTTTATGAATAACCAAGAAAATTCGTGTGCTGTTTTTAATCAATAAAGATAAACGATATACAACATAGAAACGGCACGAACATACTTGATTACCAGTTATATTGTAAAAAAAAAAACAGATTTATGATTTTATTTTCTTCAGGTAATGAAAGAAATAAGAAAATCAAAAATAGTTTTAATGGAGTATTGCCAAAAATGGAGGTCGAATTTAATAGTTTGCCAATCGATGATGAACCACCCATTTATAAAGGTAAAGATTAGTAATAAAATAAAATTATTGATATACAGCATTCAATTAATTTATTTTTATGTTTAGATGATGAAGCTATAATGTTTGGAACTACCGAGTTGATTATAATCGCAGTAGTGAGTGCATTATTGGTTTGGTTGTTGGTTGGTTTGAGTTTAGTTTGCTACAAATATCTCAGTAGACACTCGGAGGAATGTTCACCGTGTGAATCACCGAACACACCGTAAATTTATTTCTTACATTAACCACTTGACATACAAATAAAATACGCGCGTGGCGTTTTATTTTGAAATTTACATTGCTTTATAAAATTCAATAAGGTTGATAATTAACCCTTTTACACTCGAGGGCTCTTTTACGGAGACAATAAAAAAAAAATAAAAATTGAAACAAATTCAATTCAGTCTACAACATATCAATTATGATTTTTCTTTTAATTACACATATGTCATTTATTTATAATACGTGAATATGATTTTTTTTTCTATTGAAATTGCTTTGTAAGTTGTTGATAATATGTGAAATGAAAAATATAACTTCGAGTGCAAAGGGTTAATTAAGTAATACTATAAAATAATAATTTAATAATTTTGTAACGTGTGATAAAGCAGAAACAGCCTCTCCGAGATGTCATTGTATGTCAAGTGGTTAATATTGTAAACTAAGATAGAATAATCCTATTAATGTGATTATTTTTCTAGTGTCGCAGTGTTATACGAAAATACGGACTATTCTAAGGGTGAAAGGTGCACCTCGAAAACGATCGTCCCGAAGGGACCGATAGAAAAGCTAAAGGAGTGGTACAAAAACAAGTTCGGACGATGTCCTGGAGGCTGTCAGGATCGATACGACGAGGAACGTTGTTTAGCTGCTATTAGTTACAGCAGCAAAGACACAATACCTGGAAGCAGAGTTTGCCAGTAAGATGAACAATAAAAACAAACAAAGATATACAAACATTTCTTATTGGGTTGGTGCAAATGTAATTACGGATTTTTAATATCGAGTTTCAAAAAGTATTATATTTTAAATGTCGGGCTATTGTTAAATAATCAATAATGAGTTGTACTGTAATTTCTTCAGTTGTAAATTTGGTTAATTTTTTACAATAATTAATTCATAATTAATTACCTAAATTTTGCCTAAAAAATAATAAAATAAATAAAATAAATATAAAAAAATATATAAAAAAAAATAAAAAAAAAAAAATAAAAAAAAAAATAAAAATAAAATAAAAAAATGATCTAAAATTGCCTAATTAAATCTTTATTTATTACATGATAGTAATTAGATAAAAGTAATGTAAAAATCGTAATTATTTATGCATCAATTCAATATTTTTCAAAATTCTGTTTAAAGATACGTTTTTATTTGTTAAAGGAGGAAAAAGTACGTGAAATCAACTTCAGCATCCCCTTCGAGTTCTCCGGTAGAACGAACAATATTCAGGGTAAACATTACATAAATATTTTTTAATATAAACATATATGATGTACATGTATATGAGTGTGTAAGTGAAGAGAACATTTGAAAGACATTTACAACATTTTATTTTTTATCTTTTCGTTTATTTTCTTTTTAGCAAAGCGTTTGCTACAGTTCCGATGCTTCGAGCACAGTATCCGAGGATCCAGGAAAACGAAGAAGATAATTAATAACATGTCGTCTTTTTAGCAGTATAATTTTGATCTATATAGATGTACTCACATATAAATGAAGATAAACTTAGATCTTTTGATAGAGAAAAAAAAGGATTACGGTATCATTAAAAATAATTATTGATATATGTGGTATTAACACTTTAATGGCCGCTCACACAACATGTGTGTGGAACATTGGCCGTTATTTTATTTATAATTTTATATATATTAAATTAAATTTGTTGTTTTTTGTTTTATGTTAATATTTTCGTGAATAATAATAAAGTTTTTTTTCAATTAATTCTTGAAAAATATTACCGGGCCCCTGACGATGTTTGACTGCGTACACACGTGCGGCCATTAAAGTGTTAATAATGACAGTGTTCTAACAATAAGTCAAAAAATGACAATAATTTTTATATTTAATATTATTACGATAATTAATTAAATAATAAATTGTAAGATTAATTTTTTTTCAATGTTTTTGATTTATTGTTAGTTATAAACTGTCATATATTAATCGGCACATAGTATTTGAAATATTGAAATATACTCTATAATATAATAGACAAAAGAAACGTAAATAAAAACAAAATAGAAAGAATTATAACAATACGTGAAAGATCAACGTGTGTATTACACGATTCAACTGCAACTTGTTGCAAGCATTAAAGAAGAGAGGAAGGGATCGAAAGTAAAGAACAGAGGCATTGCTATTGGTTGAGATGTAGAAGATACAAGATAGAGAGGGATATAATGTGCGGGAGAGAGAGGGTGAGAAGCTGCGCGAACTGGATGCGCCATCTTGAATCCATCGAACAGTACCACAACGGAGGGGATGTCAGTCTCGTGCAGCACATCGTTGCAAGTGGATCGAAGGGTTTTCTTTGCTTCTTTACGAAGATAGAGAAAGTCACACGCGTTTTATTGATATTTGGTGATAACATTCAAAATTTTATATAAAAAAAGAAATCAAACAATTCAAGAATACTTATAACATTTGTGTGATGATTTGTTTACGTAGAACATGAATTTTTTCGAATTAATCGAGAACGCGAACAAATCATTTCGATCATCTTCACAATCGAAACGTCATTTTTGAAAATTCTTTCGTATTTAATTAAATTCTGTGTACTTTGGATAAATTAGTTAGTAAGACGTTTTAATTTTTTAAATCTTTTGCGACAATCGTCAATTGTGATTGGACGTTTTTAAAGGTTATCTACTTGTTAAATGATTTGAATTTTTTGGCGCGTAATTGAACAAATTTAAATATTGAAAAATCAAGATGAATGATAAGTTTGTCAACGTTGCTAAAAGATTTCTATTCTTATGAGACATGAATAATGGACGAGTCTATTATATTCTTGGATGTAATAATATCGAAATAAGTAAGTTTTAAAAAAGGAATAGGTAACGTGGTCTCGATAGAACGTTTTTTTTTTTTGAATATAAGCGCGAAGCCCGCGCGAAATATTTGAAAGCGTGCTTTGTCGCGCGTTTTCAAAGGTGGAAGCACAAAGCGTTTGACGATTGATAAATATTTTTTAAATAACGAAAAATAACGTGGAATCATTTGAAATAAATTGAACAATTTTTAAAACAATAGATAAATTATTTATTTAATTATAAAATTGTCGTTGTTATAATAATTAATTTTTTGTTCGAATTTGACTTATTTTTTTTGTGTGTTTCTTGTTTATTTTTTTTTCTAATGTGTGTATATCCTCTGTGTGTTATAAAGTGTTAATCAAATCAGGCTTTTGTGTGTGTTCGGTCGGATAAGAAAAAAGAAACTAAAGTTTTGTCATAATATAAAAGAAAGAGACACTTATATATATATATAGATAAAAATAAATACGAAAGAAGAAAGCAACAGCAACGTGCAACATGGAAGCTGGGGATTCCAGGAAACTGTCTCTCCTGCTATGCCTCTTCCTTATTTTCGCAGACGTCTTACAAGGTAAGTACTTAAGTACTTCTTTTCTTTTTTCTTCTTTTATCTTTACCTCTTTGGATATATAAGATTTTTTTATTTTTTTATTTCGAGACCATAAATATATATTTGTATCGTATATGGGCTTGTTTATTGGGGTACAGGATCAAGTTATTGGCACAAATTATATTTTTCCTCTAATAACTGTTATTTGGTTAAATTGTTATTATTTTTTTAATTTTTTTTTTTTTTTATATATTTGTTCTAGAAGTGTGAAGTTTAAAAAGTTTAAAAACATTGTATGGAATAATGGAAAATTTATAAAAATTATAAATGATTGGTAAGATATATATTACTATTTAAAATTATAAATGATTGGTAGTATATATATTACTATTAATAGATTATTAATAGATTATATATTACGATTAATAGAAAAATTAAGTATTTTAATTAAAATATTTGTTAGTATAACAATTAGATAATATTTATAATAAGGTATTCTTAATATTATATATTAATAATACTAGTAATATATATTATAGTAATTATAATATATAATATATATATTGTTAGTATTTATAATAAAATATCAGTATACAATATATAAGTATTAGTATTATATCCACCAATTAGTATACAAACCATAAATATTTTAATTAAAATATTTGTAAATCTAATTAGTTAGTATTTTAAATAAATAATCAATATTAAAAAATATCAATATAAACTTTTTATCAGCATATAACCGTAATACAACCTAAACACAGTTCTGCTTCTGTTGTAAAGATTAATAAATTATTATTAATATTGAATAAAATATTTTAATATATTAACTATTTATTTAACAAAATACTGGTAAAAAGTTAAAAAAGTTAATAAATAGTAATCTAATAAATAATAATTATTAATAAATAGTAATTATTAAAAAATATAGTGGAAACCACATAAAAGTTCATTTTCATCTAAAAACTATTTTTTCTTTTTTTTATTATACACTAGTTCCAACTTTATATATTGTAATACATCTATTTAAATTTTACATTTGAGAGATATATTAATAAATAAAAATAAATGTAATAATTGTACATTATGCAGAAACATATATATAGAATATTATAGGAAAATTTACTCTGTCAAATAATCTCATTTATTGTCAGTATTTTATATATATATATATTTATATGTATTGAAGAGATTTAGTTGGACCTGTTTGACATTCGCATTTCATATGAACTTTCTACATCCATATGTACATTGAAATAATAATTTAGATAATTCGACTAAATGTTAATTTATCTCTCTATAGATATATTTCTATCTCTTTTTAGTTGAATTCATCTCAAAATCATTTCTATAAATGATCTATTATTCTCATTAGGTCTCTAAACAGATTTAATTGTAATTTCTCGTTTCAATCGAAGATATTATCATTATTTAACGAACGAATTAACGAAACAAAACTAAACTAAACCAAACGAAACGAAACGAAACGAAAATGGAACGCAACATAACGTAACGATTTATTATCAAATATATCGTGTATCCTCTTTAGCTGGCGTGTAGTAACGAGTTAAAACGTTCTCGCTAATGGCTATAGGATAATTAAGTGAAAATATACAGGGCTCTCGATTAAAAGTAATTTCATTCGAGAGCATTAACAAATAATTGAGCTTTAAGCGTGCCATTTGAAAATGGAACGCTGCTGTTTGATATAAATGTATATATATATATGTACACACCTATATACAGACACAACAAAAAAAAATATCTTCAGATACGCAAAATAACACACATATATATACATTTAGACATATACACATATAATAAACAAGTACGTTCGAATAACCGATATAGAAAACGTAACTCTTTGTTGAATCCGTTTGAATAGCCCGCGGTTACTCGGTCTCCTAGACACTTTTTCGATATCGACAGCAGCTGTCGTTGATTCAATTAAAATTGAGAGAATATCACAGATGCTACATAAAGAAAGTATTTTGCAATATAATAATTCCTTACCCCATAATACTTGCGACGATTTATTTTCGTTTGGGTAAATACTTTTCTTCGTTTTTTAATACAAAAGTTATACAAATTTTTGTTTTCTTTTTGTGTACATTTTGTATTTAATCATTTGTAAATCATTTTGTGGTTGATGTTTAGTTTATTATCGATATTTGAATTTATTATATAATATTATTATAATATTATTATATTATAATAATATATCGATTATTAATTTTTTCCAATAATCCAGTAAAAAAATATTTTCTTTTCAAATTTGTTTTTTAGTTGTAATGAACTTTGGAGTTCATTTTTTTTGAGGGTTGAATATTGCATTTATCATTCCTCTGATAAAATACTAATAATTCAAAATTATTAGCAAATAAAATCCACTCCTCTTATTTTATTTCAAGCTGAAAGTTCAATAACTTCTTTCCTTGATGATTGTGTAACTTTTGAAGAAATAGTGGAACTACGTGTGTAGTTGAGTGATGAATTATGCTAATAGTTTGTCAATCATTGTAATTAATGCATAAATAAATGATATTTTATCATAATAAATAATATTTTATTATACATTTATATATAATAAATGATATTTTACGGACTGCTTATTAATAATATTATAATAAATGTTCAAAAATATCTATATATCGTTATGGCATTATCGAAAAATAGTTATGAAAATATTTGAAAAAATATTCTTCATAAAATTGTTCAAATATTGAACAAAGGAAATTATCCATAGGACATTATTTTACCGAACTATAGAAATAGTTTGTTAAACGTTTAGGTATATCGCATTCGAGAACGTTTGAGGAACATTTCAAGTTCCATCGCGATTAAATTCATCTATTTAAACGTTCAGCTTTTATGGAAGAGAAGCTTCCCTAGAGCTTGTCCTAGTTTCATAAAGTTCGTGGTCAAAAGTTTGTTAACGTATTGTAGATAAACGTTTAAATTAAAACTCTAAACGAAACGAGACTATCAATCTGTTCTTACATTCACTTTATTTATTATAATAAAATATAAAGCTGATTTCACACAGAAATACAAATATGAGATAAATGTTTATATAATATGGTGAAATTGTGTATATAATCATATGTTTCACATATGATGTTTACAGTGTGCACATGTGGTTTGTAAAAAAAAAAAAAAAAAAAAATATATATATATATATATATATATATATAGATAGATAGATAAAAAATTAGTTAATAATATTATTAATATTAATAGTATTAAATAATTCATTTAAAAATGTGTTAATAAATTTATTTAATGACAAATTTTTTAATCAATTTTAAAAATACGTTGAATTTTATTTTAATTTATTATATTGGTATTTTTTAAATTTTTAATTTAATATTTACATCTTATTAAATTATCTCATGTTCCCATGTGAATTTGATTCAACGTTTTGATTGCAAAAAAAAATATTCCAAACAGTCAAGGTTACTTGGATTCACGAGATCAGTATCCTTACATTTAACAATATCTCAAGAGAATTGTCGTGTGAACGTTTCCATTGGGTGTATATGTAAATTCAGTATCATACTCCTATCTTATATATATATACTCGTGTGAAAGAAGTTTTAAAAGTACGTAGGTGTAATAAAAACGTGCTTTAATTCAACATTCTTTTCAATCCTTCAAATGTTTTGACTGTACGTTAACCTTCGTAAGGAAGAAAAATAAAGAGGATAGTACCAAAGGGATGAGTATAAACGAAAAGAATTGAAAAAGAAGAAAAAGAAAAGAAAAAAAAGAAAAAGAAAAGAAATATTTTTCTAAGAGTGAGTATGTAAATTTACAGTGGTGGTTGCTTGGTTAACAGGAATTCAAATAAGTGATTCTTAACAATCTTGAATAAACTCTAGGTCATTACTTCTGTTCATAAATTTTCTAGAATCTCAAAAAGAGAAAAAGGGAGAAAGAGACAGATATATAGAGAATTTACTTAAAATTCTGCAGTGTGTGTTTCTCTTTCTCTCTTGATGTACAATAGAAGAAAATCGTACAAAATGGGGTGGTTCGCTATAGTTCCGTGGTAGAGTTCGAGGAGTGAAATAAATTCGAAGTATCACCCTGGTAAAATATTGTCGTTGGTGCAGTTTATCACGTAACTCGAAGAAAACTATATTCTACAGTAGTAGTAGTGTAGTTATGGTGGTGGTTCTGGTAGTGGTGGTGGTGACATGCGTTCCTATCGTCGACAGAATTATAGTTGCCAGTTTAATACCAGAGAAAACACACGGGCTTTTGATGAGCAGAGATATTGACCTTGCGTTCGATATAGCTAAGTTGTCCCTTCAAAACTTTTGTTTTTACAAATACACACACACATATATATATAGTATAGTTTAATACAATATAGTAGAAATATACAGAATATTCTGGAGTTTACTGGTCAAATTGTGAGAGCATATTCTACAAGTGGAAATAAGAAAAAAAAAATGTTATTTGTAGTTTGAATAATCAAATGAAATTGTGAAATAGATAACAGTAAATTTTAGTAGATAAACAATACTACATTTTTCTGTATTTGTTAATATGAATTTTAAATTATATAATTTGTGGTTTTATTTTGATCTAGAAATGAATATCAGTAGTAAAATATGTTTCTATAATTTAGCTGGTAAAATCCTTGGTATTCTTCAGTAATAAAAATTAGTTATGGAGTAAACAATTCAATATCAGTTCATATAAGTTTACAATTTATTAAAAGATTAAAGGTTTTCTTGATATCACAATAATAAATAAAATACAGAATGACTCACCATAAAAAATTAATGAACTAGTTATATATATTATAACTATAGTGAATATATTATATACTATGCATATATGTTTTATATACAGTACGTATGGGAGAGAAGGGATTAGAGTGATTAGCGTATATCGTTAAGTTATATTGAGGTATGAATGAGAGGTGCATTTGAATAAAGATAGTTCTCACAACACATAATACAACCCTAGTTAATTAAACTGCACTACGATTCTCCTACACTACTAATTAC